AAAAAAATTCTTTGGACAGCAGTACTATTTACACTACTTCAGAGTAAGCTATGACCTTGTTGGCTCACTCACTTGATTTTTCTCATAGTTAGTTATGAAGTAAGACCTAACATGTGGATGGATAGTTGCCACTGTAGTACCTAGCTTACAGTTCTGTCTAAAATGCGTTTGATCAGATGTAAGATCATGTGAATTAAATGAAAGTAATGATCTGAGAACCTGTGGGTTGGACTGCAACAGGGTTTGAATCCTCAGTCATGGAAACTCTGGATGACCTTAAGCAAGACACACACTCTCAGCCTCAGAGGACAGCAAAGACAAGCCTCCTCTGGACAGATCTTACCAAGAAAACCCTTTAATACAGTGGTTCCCAACCTGTGGTCTGCGGTCTCACCATTACTACCCCTTTGCCTCAAAACCACGCAGCAACAAGAGTGACTGTTGCACAAAACCCTCTTATAGTGCCGAGGCAACGGGGATGTCAGGAGAGGAGAGGCTGACTACCCATGAAAGATTACTACTACCACATCAGCTCCAGATTATTAAATATGGTTTTCTGTGGGCGAGCAGATGGCGACTACTGGATGGCATTATGTTCTGTATCAGAAACTAGAGCTGATGTGGTCTATCCAATGCAGTTTTCTGAATCAGCACCCCAAATTACCAACCTGAATCTAAAGTTGACCAAAAATTGATTCGTAACCCTTTTGATACTAACATTGGAGAGTGGTCCCTGGTCAACCACTGCTGGGAACCACCGAGAACCACTGCTGTAATAGGTTGTCATAAGTCGTAAACAACTTGAAAAATACATCAAACTCTCCCTAGTAAACATGGTTAGGAGCACAGCCTTAAAATATTGTGGCATACCTGCTATCGTTTGACAAACTTGCAATGATACATTGGTTGTATATCCATGAGGTCACGAAGAGTATGGAGCGACTGAAAGAATAAACAACAAAAAATAGTATCAGTAAATACCCTAAAGGCACCTGATCTTGGAAGCTAAGCAGGGTCAGCCTTAGTTAGTGTTTGGATGGAATACAACCAACAGATACCAGGTGCTGTAGGCTCTGTTTCAGAGGAAGGTGACAGCAAACCACCTCTGGGTATTCCTTGCCTAAGAAACCCATATGAAGTTCATGAGGTCACCATAAGAAGACGGGTGACTTGAAAGCACACATGCACACACATTTGGCAAGGGCATTTAGACCTTGTGACGATGTTTACACAGTCATTATTGTTTTAAGTACTACGAAGTGAAAATATGGGTTTCTTTTAGTAGTATCTCCCAGCTAACCCTTCTGTGGAATATTTTCTTTGTTAGAATCTTTCTTATAATTTGGCTTCTCACCAGTTATGTTTAGGCAGTGACCCTGCTCCTGGGTTCTTGTTCTGAGAGATCGTAACACGAAGTCAATAATCACAATTATCAATGCGCCTTTATCTTGCCTCCTTTTGCTTAGTTTATTTTTTGGGAGGAGTCATAATTTGGATGCCTGTGCAGATGGTTCATGGATTCCAAACACATTGCTCAAAATCTTAATTGTAATGAATTTTTATTTCATTTTGATCCTAGAAATTGGGTGTGTTATGTGTGCATGGTCTGGTTTATGAAAAATTTCTAGTTTTTTATATTGGTAACCTGTTGAATTTTGATACAATATACCATTGTGTCTCTGTGCCTTGGATTTACTTACCTGTTTATGACAAACTCATGGATTTCATAAGGATTTCTTAGGCAAGGAATATTCAGGAGTTAGTTTGTCATTTCATTTCTCAGAAATATAGCTTATAGCATTGGCATTTCTTCGTACCTTTAGGGCATTTAGGCAGCCCCACATGACATTGCTTTATGATTATTTAAAACAGGAATTTTTAACATTTCACAGGTCTGCTAAACAGAGATAAGCAAGAACAATAATTTCCTACTTGTTATTGATGTTCTCAATTGTTCTAGCATTTATGCTTCCTTAGCAACCTGATAGAGATGATTAATTACTGTGTAACATGATTTTTGTTTCTGGGTTATAGATATCATTTCCTAATTGGTTCTATCATAAAAACACGGAAAAAGTTTATTAAACTGCAAAAACTTGATCTTTGCGGGGCATTTTGCAGCACATTTTGCTATGGTTTGTCAGTGACTGTTTCATCGAGTTTCAACCAATTCAACATAGTTTGTGGCAGCCACAAAAACAAAGTTTCTGGAGTATAACAACTACAGTACTTTCAAAAATAAGTACTGCAGAATTAAATAGGAAATACCACTTCCAAACCAGCAACAGTTTTTTTTTTCAAATTTTGTTACATAGTGTTATGATCATTGGGACAGTACTGAGTCCCATGGTCTAGTGGTCTGACCTAGTATGGGATTAGTATCTCTTATCTGAAAAATGCTTGAGATCAGAAGTGTTTTGGATTTTCCCCCGATTTTGAGAGAGCTCCCGCCGTTAGGCCCAGTTTCTGACAACCTAGCAGTTCAAAAACATGCAAATGTGAGTAGATCAATAAATACTGCTTCTGTAGGAAGGTAATGGCGCTCCATGCAGTCATGCTGGCCACATGACCTTGCAGGTGTCTGGACAATGCCGGCTCCTCGGTTTAGAAATGGAGATGAGCACCACACCCCTTTACCTTTACCTTATATTCGTATCTCTTTGGATTCTGCAGCACTGTTGGTCACAGCTGACATCCAGCTGGAGCGCTCAAGGGCCAGGGCTTCCCAGTTCTCAGTGTCTATGCCAGAGTTTTTAAGGTTGGCTTTGAGCCCATCTTTAAATCTCTTCTCCTGTCCACCAACAGCCTATTTAGATATAGTATTACTAATAAATAAATAAATTAAAAAATACATAACTTTGTGTTGTCAAAGACTTTCATGGCCGGAATCACTGGATTGCTGTGAATTTTCCGGACTATATGGCCATGTTCCAGAAACATTCTCTTCTGACGTTTCACCTACATCTATGGCAGGCATCCTCAGAGGTTGAGAGGTCTGTTGGAAACTAGTCAAGTGCGGTTTATATATCTGTGGGATGTCCAGGGTGGGAGAAAGAACTCAAGTCTGTTGGGGGGAAGTGCGAATGTTGCAATTGGCCAGCGTGATTAGCATTGAATAGCCTTGCATCTTCAAAGCCTGGCTGTTGCTGCCTGGAGGCATCTTTTGTTGGGTGGTGTTAGCTGGCCCTGATTGATTCCTATCTGGGATTCCAGTTTGTTGAATGTTGCTCTTTATTTACTGACCTGATTATAAAGTTATTTTTTAATACTAGTGGCCAGATTTTGTTCATTTTCATGGTTACCTCCTTTCTGTTGAAATTGTCCACATGCTTGTGGAATTGTTGTGTGTGTGTGTGTGTGGCCTTGCAGCTTCAAAGCCTGGCTGTTGCTGCCTGGAGGCATCTTTTGTTGGGCGGTGTTAGCTGGCCCTGATTGATTCCTATCTGGGATTCCAGTTTTTTGAATGTTGCTCTTTATTTACTGACCTGATTGTAGAGTTATTTTTTAAATACTGGTGGCCACATTTTGTTCATTTTAATGGTTTTGTCCTTTCTGTTGAAATTGCCCACGTGCTTGTGGAATTATTGTGTATACATATATGGGTGTGTGTGTGTTGAGCCCTATTAAACACAAACTGTAGTGGCCTGGGAAATACCAAAATATTGTTGCAATTGGCCAGCATGATTAGCATTGAATAAATAATAATAATAATAATAATAATAATAATAATAATAATAATAATAACTTTATTTATACCCCGCCACCATCTCCCCAATGGGGACTCAGTGGCTTACATGGGGCCAAGCCCAGACAACATATTATATCAAAATAAAACCAAAACATAAAACAACAAGCTACATCGTCAAAATTACATAAAAAAACAAATACAGTAACAAAATAACATTACAATAAACACAGTCGCAGTAACAGTGAATAGCTTTGCAGCTTCAAAGCCTGTCTGTTGCTGCCTGGAGGCATTGTTTGTTGGGTGGTGTTAGCTGGCTCTGATTGATTTCTGTCTAGAATTCCTGTTTTTTGAGTGTTGCTCTTTATTTACTGACCTGATTCTAGAGTTAATTTTTAAATACTGGTGGCCAGATTTGGTCATTTGCATGGTTTCCTTCTTTCTGTTCAAATTTCCCACGTGCTTGTGGAATTATTGTGTGTGTGTGGCCTTCTAGCTTCAAAGCCTGGCTGTTGCTGCCTGGAGACATCTTTTGTTGGGCGGTGTTAGCTGGCCCTGATTTATTTCTGTCTGGAATTCCTGTGTATATATATGGGTGGGTGTGTGTGTGTTGAGTCCCATTAAACACAAACTGTAGTGGCCTGGGAAATACCAAAACATTGTTGCAATTGGCCAGCGTGATTAGCATTGAATAGTCTTGCAGCTTCAAAGCCTGGCTGTTGCTGCCTGGAGGCATCTTTTGTTGGGCAGTGATAGCTGGCCCTGATTGATTCCTATTTTTTAAATGTTGCTCTTTATTTACTGACTTGATTCTAGAGTTAATTTTTTTAATACTGGTGGCCAGATTTTGTTCATTTCCATGGTTTCCTCCTTTCTGTTGAAATTGCCCACGTGCTTATGGAATTCTTGTGTATACATATATATGTGTGTGTGAGTGTGTTGAGTCTGGGAAATACCAAAATATCAATAGAGATAATTTGATATGGATCAATAGGGCCTGTGTTCTTTTGCAGTCTTTCGGAGTCGTTAGGGTTAATTGAATGGCAGGTGAGGCCGAGGCCCCACGAACAAAGAGTGCTTCTGTTGCCTCAAAAACCCCGCCTTTTTGTTTTCTGCCTCCCCCTATCCGCGGCCGAAGGTGGTTTCCCCCAGTTGCGTCACACGCTCCTCCCTCCCCGCTTTGTTTTGAACCGCCCTCTCCGAGCAGGCTGGTTTCCTGCTTTTCTATTGGCCGAGGCGAGCAGGGGAAGGGCGGCCAATCAGAATGGACGGCTTGCGGCCTTGTTGCTGGGCAGAACGGACGCAAACGGAAGTGAGCCCAATGGTCGAGGTGGGGGAGAAGGCCTTTCTGTCCTGGACTCTGCTGTGAGAAGAGGGACTTCCGGATTCTTCAAATTATTAACTCATTCAGAACAGCTAGAGCAGGCATGGGCCAGCTTGGGCCCTCCAGGTGTTTTGGACTTCAACTCCCACCATTCCTAACAGCCTCAGGCCCCTTCCTTTTCCCCCTCAGCTGCTTAAGCGACTGAGGGGGGAAAGGAAAGGCCTGAGGCTGTTAGGAATGGTGGGAGTTGAAGTCCAAAACACCTGGAGGGCCCAAGCTGGCCCATAACTATTCTAGAGCCCCAAAGGCCCTCAAACTGGCTTAGAAAGGGTTCATTGGACATTCTCCCTACCCTCAGGTGTATAATATTTTAAAATGCTGGCTTTATTTGTGTAGGAGCGAAACAAAAGAAGGGAGCAGTCCATTTTCCAACTTCTGTTATGAGACCCGTGTTATTATGGTATCAATTTGCATGTTTCTTTTTTCTCCGAACAGACTCAAAAGCGGTGAACGGTGCTAGAAACCAATGGACTGTACAATAATAAAACCTCAAGGCGATCCACGTTAAAATAGAATTAAACCAAGCCCTGTCAATCTCAGGTTCGCCTGTTGGGAACAGTCTTCCAGCTCTACTTCTGCAGGTTGAGCATCATTTCTTCAAAGTCCTTAGGATTTGATACATGATAGCCATGTATAAGTATGTGAGAGGAAATCATAGGGAGGAGGGAGCAAGCTTGTTTGCTGCTGCCCTGGAGACTCGGACGCAGGACAATGGCTTCAAACTACAGGAAAGGAGATTCCACCTGAACATTAGGAAGAACTTCCTGACTGTGAGAGCTGTTCAGCAGTGGAACTCTCTGCCCTGGAGTGTGGTAGAGGCTCCTTCTTTGGAAGCTTTTAAACAGAGTTTTAAATTGGTGCTTTGAATGCCGTTTTCCTGCTTCTTAGGAGGGGGTTGGACTAGATGGCCCATAAGGTCTCTTCCAACTATGATACTGTTTTCAATTCAATTTTTAATTCAATTTTTATCAGAAAAAAACACACACACATGCACAGAACAATCCTTAGGTTGGTAAAGGTTTCCCCTGACATTAAGTCGTCTCTGACTCTGGGGGTTGATGCTCATCTCCATTTCTAAGCTGAAGAGCTGGCGTTGTCCGTAGACACCTCCAAAGTTATGTTGCCAGCATGACTGCATGGAGAGCTGTTACCATCCCGCCAGAGCGGTACCTATTGATCTACTCACATTAGCATTTTTTTGAACTGCTAGGTTGACAGAAGCTGGGGCTAACCGCGGGAGCTCACGCCGTTCCCCAGATTCGAACCTGTGATCTTTTAATAAGCAAGTTCAGCAGTTTAACCTCCTGCGCCACCAAGGGCTCAAATCCTTACACAGGGTTAAACTGCTAAGCTGCAGAATTTGCTGACCGGAAGTTGAAGTCCAAAACACCTGGAGAGCTGAAGTTTGCCCTCCAGGTGTTTTGGACTTCAACTTCCCATTGAGCTTCATAGACACCTGATCTTATATAAGGCATATTTCCTATATTTCATAGGGGACAGAGACTGGAATTCTACAAGAAATTCTGAACGTACAGTGTAGGTTATTACTTGCAGTGGCCATCCATATCCCTCAGGAAGACCGTAGAAGGGCATTTTCCCCCTCCTATATTAGTGCCTTTCAATTGATGAATTCGTCAGTTGGAACAACATGGACAATACTTATCTAAAAGAGACCTTGTTGGTTTTGCTTTGTTGTCTACACCTGTAAGGGAGGCCTGAGGATGCTTTCAGCAGACTCTTGATTTGTATGAAGCACTGCGTACAACTATGAAACACTGGTTACAATTATTAGCTTGACCTTCATTCTCTGTATAAGTGAATGTACAGCATGCTCTTAGAAGTGTGCTCACAGCTGTGTACACATTTTATGTGAAAAAAAGATTAATTAAACTTGGGGAAACAGTCCCTTGAGTAAGACATGCAGGTTCCCACATCTGTCAATTTGTGTCTGAAGAGAGCTTTCCATGTGTGGTTTCTTTGCCTCTACTATGGTGATTATGAATATATACTAAGTTGCACTGAGTTTTGCCCAATATTTCTTCTTTTTAGATGTTCAGGTGCTATATTTCCACCTAACTTACCTGTGCCCTTATCAAATCATTAAGACTTCTGTATTGAAGTGCTTTGTTTCAGTAACATACCATAAGACATTGTTTCTTTTTTGCCACTAAAAGCTATTGTTGTATGACTTGTTCTGAAGGCTAGCTTTTCCTAATTTGTTTTGAAATTTGATGCAGCAGCCTATAGTGCTAGAAAAGAGAAGGGCAGTGGTTCTTAACCCCAGAAGTTGACCATCAACTCTCAGAAATCCTAACAGCTGGTAAACTGGGATTTCTGGGAGTTGTAGGCTAAAACACCTGAGGACCCACAGGTTGAAAACCATTGGAGTAGGGAGTGCAGTAGTTTGTGAGATACAGGAATGGGAAACCCGTGGCATTCTAAATATTGAACTGCAATTCCCGTCTGCTCTGATTAGCATATCCAAACAAAAGTAAAAGACTGGGGATTACAATTCAACAGCATCTGAATAGAAAGTTGTGGTTTCTCATTGCATTTGAGCTGGACCTGATTTTTTTAGATGACACATTCTCAATACAGGGCAGATTAACAGAATGATTGCAATATTAACTTCACCCTCCACATGTAGCATGGATAAATAACCATAGGTAAAAAGAAACAAATTTCCATTGGATGACTATCAGAACTCTGCAGATGGTTAAGGACAAGAATAAGACAAAAGTAAAAGGTTACAGAAATAATGTCAGAATCCTGAATGCAACTGTTTAGCAAATTGTGTATAAGGACTAAGACAGCTGTAATAACAGTGCAAAGGAATAGAAGAGGCCAACAAAATGATAGAACAGAATACCTTTTCTACAAGAGAAATCAAATGAAAATTTAAGAACAGGAATGTTGTATGATCAACAGGAACACAATATATGGTCAAGACTAAATAAAAGAAAGATTGAAATCATACATTGAAGAACTATGTAAAGGGGAGAAAAAGATGATAGATCCCTTCAAGGAAAAGCCTTTTGACAAAATCACAATTTGAGAAAGCTAAGTAGAACCTGTCTTTAAACATTTGGGAGAAATAATTCGACTGTTACATGCTACAGAGATGGAATATATAAAAATCTGCCAATGAATAAATTAGTACTTTGGCTCAATTAGTTGTCAGGATGGCAGTGATAGTCAAAAAATCAGAAAATAACAAAGACTTGGGAGGGACTCAGTGAATGCTAGATAAAATCACCAGATGTAATACCAAAATCTGAATTGCTCATGCCATCATACTTCTGATTTATGTATATGTTTGTGACAGCTGAACATTGAAGAAAGCTGACAAGAAGAAAATTACCTCCTTTGAAATGTGGCTCTGGAGAACAGTCTGTGACAAATTAGTAGGTCCAAGAGCAAATAAAGCCTGCACTCTGATTAGAAACTAAAATGAGTAAACTGAGCCTATTGTACTTTGGATGAATCATAAGACTACGTAGCTTATTGGAGAAGACAATAAGGCTTGATAAATTGGAAAGTAGTAGAAAAGGTAGATCAAATTATAGGTGAATTGGTTCAATCAAAGAAGCCATGGCCCAGAATTTTTAAGACCTGAGCAGGGCAACTGATGGCCAGAGTTCATGGAAGTTGGGGTTATGGTGGCTTCATAAATGAGATACCTTTGTGGCAATTTGTTACTAACAGCTCTTCTAAGATCTCATGCACAGGTTTGTCATAAATTGAAGATGACATGATAGTCAACAACAATAGTTAATATGGATTACATTTATTTTATTTGACACTGTGGTGTAGTTAAAATTCTACTTGGGTAAGAATTTGTCTATACTATTGATGCTGTTAAGTATTTCAGTGGTACAGGGCTCTGACTGCCTTGAGTTCCTATATTGGGAGAAAAATGAGATTAAAATAAATAAAAGATGTCAAGAGCACAGGGCTTTTATTTGAGATGTAGGGTGATTTAAAATATTCTGTTCAAAAACACTAATGCAGCTACTAACTTTTAAGTGCTGTCTTCATGTATGATCAAATGTCTTTGAAGCCACAGTTTCCTTAATGTTTAAAGGTCTCACAGGGAATATTTTAGCTTTGAAAGATCAACCATGTAACCACTTCCTTCTCTCTTTTCTTTGTTTTTAAAATGTGTGCAGAATATTGGCAGTTCTCTATAGGAGGCAGATTTTCTATATTATTTTTGATCCCCTAGGTCTTCTAAATATTATGAGCTTTTAAAGATCACATTAACTGTTCAATACCAGATGTTAGCTCATGGAGGGTCGGCAGTGCTGAACTGCTACTCATCAGTTGGTTGATTTTCTTTTCTTGTAACTAAGGGACTGTACTTGCCACAAAACCAGGAAGGTATAATAATAATAGTCTGCAATATGGGGCAGGCTGGCCTTTGTGTGGCCTGGAAATTTGTTGGCTTGATGTATTCTTAGTAGTTACTAAGGCATTTCATTGACATGAATTAGTTAAACAAATGTGATTTTCTTCCCGCTCTGCCCATTCATTTTAACATTGCTGTCACAATTATTTTGTTTGTTACAACACACTGTATCATGTCTCAGAGTTACAGTGTAGTGTACTGATGTATTTGTATTGTAAATCCTACATTTACTTGTGAACTGGAATTAGAAGTTAATTGTGTGTTTTTGCAGCACTGGTTTGGCATTTGGGTGCAGGCTTTCCCTAAAGCCTTTTGTGTTGTTCTATGAAATGTACAAGGAAGATTTTTTCATTACATAGAAATGAGCATAATCTCATCTAAGAATGCAGATTTGCATATCCCAACCATACTGAAAAAGCCTAGACTTTTAAGAAACCACAGTGAGATAAACAACAAATAGCAGTATACAGCCTACTGCATGGGTTAAAAATATGGATATTTCTTACATTCTATTGGATGCAGAATGGCCAAAGTTAAGTAGATAGAAAGATAAATGGAAGACAAAAAGCTACACTTTTCAGTAGTGTTAGCAAATGTTTAAGTATCTGTTTTGTGTAATGTGTATTTTAACCTTATGAGGCTGGTTCTATACTGCCCAAGTTCCATGCAATTGGGATTGCATTATATGGTCAGTATAGAACCAGCCAAAGTGAAGATTTGGGATTCTTCACAGCTGCGTTTTTGTGAAAGAATGTTGGAGTAGCTGTATGCACATAGTATAATGAATGTGTAGCATTTACAAATAATAGGTAGTCAAGATTTGGAAACTTGGATGTTCAAATGTGCCTTCGAATAACTAGTTTAGCTCCTGATCAGATCTACCCAGTCCTAATTTATGGTTTTGTTTTTTTGCTACACTTTCCAGCACTTTATTCCCAGCCCTAGCCTAATAGTCCGCATTTTTGTACAAGCCCCTGCCCTCCCCCAGTTTAAACATGCCCACTTTTTCCAGCTTCTTGTTGTCGATGTTGGTTGCTGTATTTTTATGATATTTTTATTTCTCTGGTTTTATTTGTTTGAATTATCTTGTTTATTTGTTATATGTTTTAATTGTGTTTACTTTGTAATTTTGCCTATGTTGGGCTTGGTCCCCATGCAAGCTGCCCCAAGTCCCTCCAGAGAGATGTTGGTGGGGTATTTATTTATTTATTTATTTAATTAATTTACTATGCTTCTATACTGCCATTCTCAGCCCGAGGGCGACTCACGGCGGTTTACAAAATGGGTATAAGAATAAAGTTGTTATTATTATTTTTATAAGAACATAGGAAGCACCATGTACATGACCGAACAAGCCCAGCATGGTCAATCAGATTAGCTAACTAGTCCTGCTTACCTTTTGAAATCAGGGCAAATTGGATACGTTCATAATCGGATGAAGATAGGAGGAACCCAAATAGTCAATTTAAAAGGGTTTGTATAACTCCATTGTTGCAGACCTAGCTTTTTTTGGAATTTGAAGGAGAGTGGATGCAATTTACCAAAAGGAAGGAAATAAACTTTAAAACATACACAGTCAATTGCACATCTTAGACCTTTTGAGAGACCTCTCAGAGAACCTGTATAGCAAAAATAAAGGGCTTTGGAATGTTGCGTGGCTTGTGAATGATTGTCTAATGTAGTGAAGTGAAACTCTTTGCTGTGAGGTATGATGTGAGAGACCTGATGTCATAATATTACTACCTAGCAATGCATGATGTCTGCTGGATGAAGGAGTGAGAAAAAGAAAATACATGAGACAGATGCTGTTTAGGGAAACTGATGAGATTTACCAAATACTTAATGAAAGGCAACCCAGGTAAAATTTAGGCTGTATGACCTATACTCTTGAAGGGTTATTTTATATTATATTATCTGGTTTATTTCAGATTGAAGCATAAGTAGGCTGAAATACAGTATATAAATGTGTCGTTAGGAGTCAGGAATTTTAACTTTTTTATGATAGTGTTGAAAAAGGTGCATCAGAAGACTTATAAAAAGGAGTTGTCCCAGAGCATTAACTGAGAAATGCCAGCACACTGCATAAACTTCTTAATATAATTGCACTAAAATGTTCTTTTCTCCCTTTTCTCCTAATTTAGGGCTGAAGCAAAAAACCTTAAAACTTAATTGATATTCAGGTCAACTGAAATAGTTTGAATAGCAATGGAAATAGAAAATGAGCAGATGGACAACATCATTTCTGCAGGTGAGGTGTTTTTAGCTTAAAGGACATAATCATATGACAATATCAGCCCCATATCAGAAGTTTGGTTACCACATTGGATGTTATATGTCAGTGTGATCGTTTCTTCACTTGGAAAGTTGTTATGTGCCATCAACTTGTTTCTGGTTTATAGTAACTCTAAGTTAAACTATAAGGGAATTTTCTTGGTAAGAATTGTACAGAGAACGGTTGCCTTTGCCTCCTTCTTTTGAGAAGAGAGTATTACTTGCCCAAGATCATGCAGTGGGTTTCCATAGCCAAGCAGAGATTTGAACCCTGGTCTTCATAGTTGTAGTGCAATACTCATACATCACATAGGCTGTATCACATGGAAGGAGCTTACCATTAAGATTTTACCGTATTAATTTTCCATGACAGTGTGTAGTTTTGATGGTGCCTGATGGTGAAGTGGAGACTCTTCATTGAGTTGCTGACACTTTGTATACAGTTCCTAAGTTACAAACATCCAACTTACATATGGCTAGTAACAAACTGTGGTGAGACAACAATGAAATCTGCCCCAAAGAAGGAAATACACTCATGAAAGAGTTATCATGGGGGAAAGGTGTCTCCATTGGAGCTTTATCACCAATCCTTGTTTCCTCAACAACTCAAAATTGTCAAAATCCAATCCAATCTCAAAGTGGAATTAAGTCTTGTTGTTTGTTCAAAAATAACTCTTTAAAATGGAAACTTTGTGTATGTTTTAGGCAAAATAAGTTTTCATCAAAAAAGAAAACTTTTATTAACAAGGTAACAGATATGAATGGCAATTTATTTTTTTACAAATGTGTAAACCCTGGATATGGCAGTGCTTTGTAGCCTACATTAGTTTTTACTAATGTGGTAGTACAGCAATATTGTAATGATTTATCAATAAGGACTGGAATGCTATTTAGTTATGTTTCTAATTTAGACGTGTAGTTAAGTAATATCTTACCCCCTCCCCCCAAAAAAACCCAACTTTTGCTGGGCATCAGTTGTGTGGAGAAAAAGGCTCTATTTTGGTGGCAATTAAAGCATCTGGTAGAGTAGGAGTGGGGAGGGGAAGTGGCAGTAGTATCACTGAATATGTAAGAACCAGAGGTTATATACAGTACATCCATAACTCTGCTCCCGAATTCTGGGCACTTCTATTATCTGATGAACTTATATAACTCAGAATTATATAGGTTAAAATTTGGGTTGCATATAAACTGAGATTCACTTCATACTTTTGACAGGTCTCCTCCAAAATGTAACAGCGTTTCCATGTTCTTATACAAAATACAAAGACAGATTGCATAATATTTACACTGCTGTTTTTGGTATGATCCCAAAATGTGGGGAAAGCATGGAATTACATCACAGATAGTCCCATTATGACCATACTATCAGAACATGTTTTGTAAATGTACTTTCTATTCATCCTTGCCTCTTATCTTTTATCTCTTGCACCGCCATTTGCTTTTGTCACTTTTAGAAGTGAAACTGTCTTTCGGATATTGTTGAAATCATCAACTTCATTCATTTTGCAAGCTGCTTAGACTAGCATTTTGAAATGTATGTATCAAACCTACTTCCTGTCCCATTGAGATTTTCTGTCTTTTTATTTTTGAGACTTGGATAATTTGAGTGATACTCCGTTTTCTGGCGATGAGGGAAACGGTGGGAATGAGGAAGTAAAAAATGAAATCAATGGTAACTGGATCCCTGCAACATCTATTAATGAAGCTAAAATCAATGCTAGAGCAAAGAGAAGGCTGAGAAAAAATTCCTCTAGAGACTCTGGAAGAGGCGACTCCGTGAGTGATAATGGAGAACCACCAAAAAGTGGAATCACTGTGCCAACCAGTCCAAAGGGAAAATTTTTGGACAGGCGATCTCGTTCAGGAAAGGGAAGGGGCTTACCAAAGAAAGGTAGGTGCATTCTGATCTAATGGCAAACAGAGATAACCTTTTTGAAAGCTGTTCAATTGTCTAGTACACCTGGGGACCCACAGGTTGAGAACCACTGATCTAGTAGATATAGTTCTTATAGGTCTACAATTTACTTTTTCATCCTGAATTTCTTGATGCCCCTATTTGTAGTACATTTATTTCATGGCATGTAAGAAGAAAGGCCAGGAGTGATCTGAATAGTGCTTTAGCATAGGTCTACATGTTTAATACTCACCTTAGAATTCCCTGACAACATCTTAAGGTTCAAAATCTTAACATTAACAACTTAGTTAAGTAAGAGTGATGCTTTAATTGATTTGATTAAAACCAGTTGTTTCAGTTAGATATGATGATACTGAAAATACCATCATTTCTGCTTGTGTTTTATTAACATTTGGAGTCTTTGAAATGTTAGAATGAATAAATAAATAAATAAATAAATAAAGCAAAGTGTGTAGTCTGCCTTCAATATTAGTTGTTTTCCTCCCTTCTTTTCAGGTGGTGCAGGAGGCAAAGGTGTGTGGGGACCACCTGGTCAAGTGTACGATCTGGATGAAGTGGATATTAAAGATCCCAACTATGATGATGACCAAGTAAAAAAAATGCTCAGTTTGCCCTTTTGGTTACTCAGTGTTACAGAGAAATGTATTCATAAGACATTTTCTGGGAACATCTTCAGCAATGTATTGTCAACAATGGCTACCATTGGTCTGATATTAATTTTAAAACTCATTTAAACAAAACAGTGTACTTTTTAGAAATATATACATTTTTTTCTAGATAGCTTTGTTCATTTGTTAAACTCCTTCAATATGTGGGTGATCTTTATGCCCCACCCTGTAATGCAGTTATTGGACCACAAAGAAAAAAATGAAGCAGTGCTTCAGTTTCCCCCTTCTTTTTTAGAAACCAGACTGTTGATTTCTTACTAGTGATTTTCTCTGAGTCAAGTTTATCAAAGCACCTACTGTTGGAAACTGATTTATTTTACAAGGGCAAGCATACTATTGCTTTGCACACTATGGGAGACTATGCACAATGCACTGTGCCTTATGCACAAATATGGGAGAAGCTCTTGGGATTTAAGAATGTGGCTCCAAGATAAGATTTTATTAACACTTTCCTCATGTGCCACAGCTGTATTGATTCCTTCCCACTCCTTTGCCCTGTTTGCATAAGCATCAGGAGTGGGTTTTTATTAATTTCCCCTTTCCTGGGATAGAGAGAGAAGCAGTGGCTCAACAGTGGAGACTAGCAGCTGGAAAGGAGCAAAAAGTAGAGCTTTGAGTTATCATTTGATGTGCTCTTCCTTGTCTGGGGAGCTTGCAGTGTGATCTTGGGGTCATACTGAGCTGAAGTAAAGTGAAAAATACACTGTAAGTCATATTGTCACATCAGTCTTAGATGTAGCTAAAATTTGTTTTTTATCTTTGGGTTAGTATTGCAGTTTACCCGATGGTAGTCATGATGAATAGAAAGCTAGAAGCCTCTTAAAAGAATAATATTTGGAAAGCCTGTGATCTGTTAATTTCAGTGGAATGATGTTCAAAGAGTTCATTGCTCTTAATCTGCACAAGGTGACTCTTGTTTCATTTAATAGTTTGTTGTACTTAAAACAGGGTAACTGTGTCTATGAAACTGTCGTTCCGCCTTTGGATGAAAGAGGATTTGAGAAAACCTTAACACCAATAATCCAGGAATATTTTGAACATGGAGATACAAATGAAGTGGCGGTATGTCTCTTGGCTTCCATTTTATAATGATTATTAACATTTAGAAAGGCATTGTGGGAAAAATGTACTTAAGCCACAAAGCATTATCATGTTAATGTAAGATTTTGTAATATTTACTAATATAAATACAGGATTGATTAGATTGTGCAACACAGGTGATTTAAGAAATGGAATAGTTTCTATACAGATTATTATGTGTTAAGATAGAATGCTTTATTGAATAACTATTGAGAAGTTGTGCCTTCCTTAAATTCCAACATCTGCTTCATTGGATATCTATCCCCTATCTCCTGTTGTGTGGGTGTCAGATAGAGTCTGAGCAAAAAATAGACACAGTCTATTGGCTAATTCAAATTGTTAGTACTAACTTGAGTAAACCCACTGAAAGTCAGCATTGACTCTAGTTGGGACTGTTACTCAGTTTTAGCCTCATAAATCTGTGGAGTTGGTCTGACTTGGAAAAGTAGTACTAGTCCAATGAAAGAGACATCCTTTTTCCTTATTTCCTCCCCATCTCTACTGTATAGGACATACAGATCACAATATTTGAACTAAAATAACAGGTCACCTTACTTTTCCTGCTTATAGGAGATGCTGAAAGATCTTAATCTTGGGGAAATGAAGTACAGTGTACCAGTATTGTCTATATCATTGGCATTAGAGGGGAAGGCTAGTCACAGAGAGATGACCTCTAAACTCCTTGCTGACTTGTGTGGGACAGTCGTCAGCATGAAGGATGTGGAAAAATCATTTGACCGGCTTCTTAGAGACCTACCAGAACTAGTATTGGACACTCCCAAAGCACCACAGGTTTGTTTAAAATGATTGTTTAAAATGAACGTGATTGTTCTGTAGCACCTCCACTACTCACATTAATTAAAAGTGCTTTATGGCATAATACACTCAGATTTAGCTAACTTTTGGTAGTTTGGTGAAAGAATCTGCATTTCCACCCATTTTCATAATGCAAAGTGTGTTAAGAAAAATTACCCTAATATATGGCAGAGCATCCAAAAATCAGACAGGATACAACAATTTGAGCATCAGCTCATTAGTGAGCAGAGTGTGAAGTGCCGTTGGTTGTGGCTGCAAGGAATTTACAGCTTAAGCAGGCAAAGATGCAAAATCCAATCTTTAAAAAATCACAAAAGGTTTATTTACAATACAAAAATAACTGTATTTCTTCATAATAAATAACTGGGTTTGAGCATGAGAGCAGAAACAGAGAGGAGAAAAGAAATTCCAACTGTCATACAGGAGACATGAGGGAAGGGAATTCCCTCAGCCTATACTAAACTAACTGCTCCTCGTTGAGGACTTGAGACTTGGACAGTGTGGGGTTGAATTTTAACAAGGTGTGCTTTGACACACATAGTGTTCCAGTTTTTGCTTACGTTTCCCTCCTGTCATCAGACTTACAGCACTGTTATATATGCACATTGTGCTGATATATCTTTTGTTCCTCCATTATTATCCATGTGTAACTGGCTCAACAGTTCCTGTATGCAAAATTTTGAATGCCCAACTTTTAAATGCTCACCTGTTCATCTGTCCACTTGGATGGGTGAGACATGTTATACTATGAGGCAATATTTTATCAAAACGTAATGATAATTGAAACTCTCATTTTTCCAAATTCTACACAATGAAAAACCAAATTATTGGAAGGCCCTCATTTTGAAAAGTATATACATTGAAAGACAATTCATAGAAATGCACCATTGTGTTTGTTTTGAGAAGTAGTATTCATTTCTTGCTTTGTAAAAGCCTAATTAAAAATTTGATTGTGTATGAGTACAACAAAGCAATCAGTAACAGAAGCTTTTTTAGAATAATGAATAAAATATGACAAGATGTTCATGTAGCTACTGGAACTGGGACATTATCCAGCTAGAAATGCATGTCCCTGTTCATGTTTTCATGGTGGAGACAGTGGTGATATCAAGGTGCCTGGCAAGAGAGATGTGAACACTAGAGATGACAACTGCATCTGTGCTGCACATCTTTGTCCCCTTTATTTGTATATCCTTGGTTAATGATGTGATGGATGATAAAAGTAAGTAAGAAAAAAAATCCAGACCTGACTATTTCAGATTCATTCTATAAAATATTTCTTTTTCATCACAGTTGGTTGGTCAGTTTATTGCAAGAGGAGTTGGAGATGGGATTCTGTCTGGCAGTTATATAGATGGATACAAAGGCACTGTGGATTGTGTCCATGCGCGGTAAGTGTATTGCCCAGTGTAGTTTAAGAAAATTTATCATATTTACTAAATAAACAAGGTAGACCTAGTTGTGTTTATAAAGATACTCAGGTTTTACAAAAAACCCATTGTTCAAAATTATGAGGATATTGTCACCACAGAACAGAGTTTATAGAATGTTTTTCCACTATAAGTAGTAATGGCTAAAAGTACAGATTTCAGAAAAGGGCATTTGACTTAGGTGTAGAAATAATAGCTTGGGATTTTCACTTGATTTGATATTTGTAGCTGCCAAAGTCTTGGGTTGGTAATATGACAGCTACCTCAAATATTGGCATATGGTTGGAGTTGGGGTTTTCTGATTATTTTTAAGCACCAGGGCTGCTTTAAAAAAAGAAAGAAAAAATCAGATGAGAGATATGTCAGCCTGTCTTTAATCAGAAACCCTTTATGAAGTCTTGTTTTCTTTTGAAAGCAAGCAATGTTACTGACATCTAAGACAATATTGATACGATTGTTATTTCTGCTATTACAGAACCATTTATCTGTATTTTGATTTTTGTAAGCTGTCTGAGAACTGGAAAAAGATGGATTATAAAGAAATATGTTTACTTGAATTTTGAACTCATTGTAGCAAAACTTATGTGGCTGTTTTCATTCTGAAAATTATTTATAAACATGAACAATTTATATATTTGATAGTTTGTAGTAAAGTATCTATAAAGCTTGCACAAGGTAATACTGAATGTAGCATTTAGCCCCAGTAAATATTAGGTCACTTAGGCAGCAAACATATATTCACTAGAATATGTGGAATACAGCGGGGCTTATTAAATAGTAAACACTGTTAGTTATGGTACTCAACTTTGTGTATAAAACATATCTTTCACACTGATTGTGTATTTCTGTACTGTAGTTGTGTTTGGACATAATGCTAAACCATAAGTTAATATACGAAGAATTGAGCCCATTTTCCCCTTATGTGTTCCCTTCTTTTTTATGGCGTGGATGCAAAGAGATTGAAACTTTCTGCTTCTATTTTAGATCAACCACAGTTTACTGTGTCAGAATTTTAAACTATGGCTTATCTTTAGTGAATAAAAACAAATCAGTATCATAAACTGTGGGGTGGATCCAATGAGGGGTTTCTGCTTCAAGGAAAAACAGAATTCATCAGAACCAGGAGGTTCTCCTCCACTGCAGCCCCCCATCAATTTCTGGAGATGTGAGGAACCCTCTGGAACGGTTTTTGTGTAGCATGGGGAGCTACAGAGTGAAGGGTTAGTTCTGGAAGTCATAATAAGTAAGCATTAGACATAGGTCTGTGGTTTGTACTTGACTTATTTCCACTAAACATTGTTAAAATAATTCAGATGGATTTGCATGATACAGCAAGATGCAGCTAATCGAACAATTGAAACACAAGTTTCTGGATTCTTTAGAGGAGGGAGGAAAATGTGCAAGCTTGGGGAAAATCTCAATTCATTGTTGCATTCGAGTGTGATTTAGCATCATGCCTAATCAACCCTGTTGTTTCAGAGCTTCAGTTGTGGTTGTGAATCTTGAGGTGCTTAAAGTCCTTTATACCTTAATGAGATTTTTTATATTTAACTTTGTATTCCCTTCCTAGAGCTGCCCTAGATCGAGCTACTGTATTGCTAAGTATGACCAAAGGTGGGAAACGCATAGACAATGTTTGGGGATCAGGAGGTGGGCAACAGCCTGTCAAGCATCTTGTTAAAGAGGTAATCAACTTAAATGTAATCGTTAATGGGTGTTCCATAACATTATCAGTTTAACAAATCTGGCTCAAGGTTACAGTGGACCTTGTTAAGACTTTCTGCACACACCTCAGACCTCAACACCAATGTCAAAAACACGCAGCACGATTCCACACAGGACCTGTGCCACACCAGAACAGCAAAGACAAATATCAGCTAAGTAAAATAAACATCAAATATTAAATAACCAGAAAAATAAAATAAGGTGTAAACACTAAACTAATCTGGGAATATGCTATTGCAACACATCCAATGAAGTGGTTTAAAACCAGTATTAGGCATTCCTTCTTTCTCTACATGTTTCATTCCCTGAAGATATAAATGTCTCTGCTCTCCCACCCAGACATAGTGAGCTGGTGGTGAGAGTGGAAGTGGCACCTACAAAGTACATTGGTGATAATTTCTCACTTGCTCCCTTTACATAGCACCACTAGGCTGTTCTTGCGGTGCCCAGGAGGAGGAAGTGGTGGTTACTTTTGCAAGCAGCACATACTGGAGATTTGAATAGTTTTCCTGCTACAAAAGAAGTGTAGATTTTAAAACACATCATCTAATCTAGTTGCGTGTTTTTGATCTATTAGATTGATATGCTGTTAAAAGAATACCTTCTTTCTGGAGATGTTTCTGAAGCAGAACGTTGTCTTCAGGAGTTAGAAGTGCCCCATTTTCACCACGAACTTGTTTATGAAGTAAGGCGGGATCAATGCTTCTCTTGTATATGGATGACATAGTTAATACAACATGCAAACCATACTGAGATTTCACCTTTGCTAGTAACAGTATATTGGTTGCAAATATGAAAATGTATATGCTTCTCATAACGGCCATTGGTACATAGTCTGCACTTTTTACACTAGTTACCTGCTTCAAAGAAGTCGCTTCCTTCCATAATTTAGTGACTACCACTAAACTTACATCAGCTCGATACCTTACTTACATTTGAAGAAAAATGGTACATGTTAATGTTTAATTCAAGAGACTTTCCCCCATTTTCGTTTGCTTCCTTCATATTTTAATCAATTTTCAATTTGTGTTGCTCTATTATATGGTGCGATTTCCACACTGAATCTGAATAATGCTTACAAAACTGCAGAATATTCTAATTGGATACTCTCCATGCTATTTCATATTCTGACTGATGGGATAGTCTATAATACATTCTTTGTTAGTCTTGTACTTTTTATTATGCCTCTGACTCTTTAATGGAGATAGTGCTCTTATATTAAAATAAGAGCCTTTACACAATTTCTCAATGAATATTCAGTTCATTTGACTTTATATATATATGTATATTTTAGGCAGTTGTGATGGTTTTAGAATCAACTGGAGACACAAACTTTAAAATGATGCTCAGTTTGTTGAAATCCCTCTGGAGATCTGCTGTAATTACTATGGACCAAATGAAAAGAGTAAGTGTATCCAGATTTCCTTGTGTTACTATTTCACATGTGTTTGCACTAGAATTAGATTAGGTAATATAAGGATCAAGGGAGATTTTGGTAATGTGAGAATTTACTTCTTTAAAAAAATTGGGAAGAACATAGTGACCTGTCTTTTACCAAACCAGACTATTTGGCTGGCTCATTATTATTTATGCTGCCTGGAAGGGTCTTGGGCAGAGGTGTCTCTTACTTACGGCTGGGGAATCAGACTGTATGTTAACAGATACAGAGATGCGTATTTTAAAATTAAGATAGCACTAAGAGTGATAGGGAAGTATTTTAAGTGTACATAATTTTCACTGAGAACTGCAATACTCTGATGACAGGTGCTAAGCATTTTTTCCTAATTCTAATGTTGCAGGGCTATGAACGGATTTACCGTGAAATTCCAGACATTAATCTTGATGTGCCACATTCGTACTCTGTGCTTGAACGGTTTGTAGAGGAATGCTTTAGTGCAGGAATAATATCAAAGCCATTAAGAGATCTCTGTCCTTCCAGGTACATATTTAACAAAGTGAGCCCATGCGTTGGCTGTGCATGTGTGAGAGAGATTTAACACTGACTTTGCTGCTTTGCTAATCTGAGCTCAGGCATTTCCAGTTGGCAGCTGCCTTGTTTTTTCCTTGTACTGCAGTGCAGGGCATGTTGTCCTAGAAGCAAGAATGGAGTTTCACAGCTGGGAACTTTCAGTCCAAACATCTGAGGATGTTAAACTCCCATCTGTATATGAAGCTGTGTTTTGGAACTAAATGCCCTTTGAAGATCACTATACAACTTGTGTTCTCATATTGCTTCTCTGTTCTCTCAGGCTTGTATATATGGGCAGACTTCTGAGCTATCCTGGTTTTTATTTCCACATCTGTAAAGATGGTGAATAGAAGATGAAAATGCATGTGTTAAATCGGTTTAATGTCCGTGTTACTGAAGCATTGTTTGATTATGCTTAAATTTCTGCAAAGTCTAACTACATTATTTTTTAAAACAAAAAAATGACTGTGAAGTTGTACTAGACTTTCTTATTCCTGTAGGACTGTGAAAGTGCGAATTGCTGCTAAATCTGGAATCTCAAGATAGTCTTTCTTAGCTTTGCAGGGGCTTTTCCTTTTGCACTTTCCTCATTCCTGCTCTTGTATCTCTTCATTGTGGTCTCTGTGCATCACATACATTTATGGCTTCACAGAAGCATTCTTTCAAACATTCTTGACCTGAGCTTTTTTTAGGGAAACCGCATTAACTTTTGTGTTGCTTATGCAATAGAGTAAACAAAACAAAAGCTACATGGCTTCTTGCTTGTAGAATTTTTTATTAGTGAAGAACTCCCACTGTCAGTAAAGCCAAGTAAAATGAGAGATTCTGAAAACATATTGTGTATTTAATTTTAGGGGAAGGAAGCGCTTTGTAAGTGAAGGAGATGGAGGCCGCCTGAAGGCTGAGAGCTACTGAATTCACAAACCAACACTTGCAACTGTAGATGTTTAAAGGGAATATACATGTATATATTCTGTAGCAAGAGTTGCTTGGTGCAGTTTGTTTATTTGTAAAAATGCACTTGTTTTGAGGCACAAATAACTTCTAAAGATTGTACAAATTTGTGTTTGCAAAGAATTTTTTAAGCATTTTCTCTTTTCTGAACCTGTAGTTCGACACAAGTAACCCCCCTTTCTATGGAGGTTTGCTGGAATAAGCTACTCTTTTGTAAGTGCCATATTTGACCTAATCATTCCATATTTTGCATTGATACCTGTATGCCCCTCCTTTCTTTCAAGGACAGTGTTGTTGGGTTTTTTGTAGTAAAATCACTGGTTTATTCAAAGCTTTAAAAATGGGTCAAGTTAAGCTGCTGGAACCCTATTTTGGCTGCTGCTGTGAAGAAACAGTTATTTCTTAGATTCTTTAAAACAAATTTAGTCTGATCATAAGATGCATTCATCTTTTTCCAGGTAATATAATGAATTGGTGTTAAGACTAGTTCAGCAAATGGTGGCTGGAACATCTATTTTTTCTACAAAACTGGAAAAATGAACAGTTCTGGCAGAATGTATTGCAAAATAAACTTTTGTGAAGCAGAGTTTTCTTTTGTTTTTCTTAATCAGTGTTTAAATTTGTGTTCATTGACTCTTGGAAATCAGCTGAGGTTCTTGCCCCAGCCTGTGTCAAGGAAGTTCTACGGGTTTCTCTTTATTGTTCGTTTAAAGCACCTTTAATTTTGTTGTATCATAAGGTTGCACAATTGCTACATGGATGAACAATTGCTAGAGTAAACCGATGTATCCCAGAGCTTGACTGTATGTATAGTTGAGCAATAATTGTTGGACCCCCCCCCCCGGCTGGCGTTAGCAGAGTATCGCAGAAACTCAGAATAATGGACTCTGGGGTCTCCGGTAAAAGCAGGTTTTTTGCTTTACTTAAGCAGCTCAAAATAGACAACATACACCATCAGCGGACAGACATGAAGAACACAAACCGAAAGAGATAGGAACAAATACAAACTGCAGCTGGAAGGAAGTTTATCTCTGGCACTCCCTAATCTTTCACAGAGCAAGAACTCAGGGTCACATTCTCACAGCTTGTTACTTTGCTGTTGTGTGTCAAAATGCATCCTGGCAATACAATTCTATTACAATCACAATCCTATCACATAAAATTACATTTAAACACACATCATACATGACACACTGACAATTTCCCCTCTTTAAATGTAATTTTCTGTCCTTACTATATACACATTATCTTAACCACAATGAAATCTTAACCTCTATAAGTAACATTCATTTGTTTTCTTAACTCTATTTATAACATTATTTATCAAACTAGACAACATTATAGAGCAATCTCTTATCACAATCCATATGCACAGGGAATACAGAATGCAATCTTATAAACGACTATACACAAACACATCTTCTGCAAAAAACACATCTTCAAAACGTCACTTTTATATTCTTTGAACAATATGATTACCATTCACAGTTATCATCATCAGTATAGTCTTTTCCTACTGGGATTCTGTGGAATTTACCTGGCTTGGACAAATAAGGAATGAGCATATATTTTGTTCTCTCTTCCCTGCACTTACTTGTTCCAACTGAACTTCTTGTTCCTCTTGCTTTACCTGTCTGTCTTTTCTGTCTGTTGTTTTTGCTGTTTTACTCTTGGGTGAACTTTTACTAGGCGTTAAACTTTCTGTTTTCACTGACTGCTGTTGCTTCACTTCATCACAAAGTATCACTCTACTTTCTTCACTTACAGTTCTCTCACTAGCTTCAGGTCTCTCTTTCTTCTTTCTATCCCTAAGTCTAGAACGTGGTGAAGGAACATTTGACACTTCCTCAATGTCTGAGAACGATACCTCTTCAATACCCACATTTGTGTCTCTAGTCTCATCATCTTTATTATCAAATTGGACAAACACTTCTTTATTACAGTGTATCCTTTCCCATCCACTATGCGTTTCAAAATTAGCACTTCTGGAAAGAATTATTCTTCCATTTCCTGCATAAAAACGATACTTATTTCCTTCATAACCAGTAAACCGTAACTTTTGACATTTTTGTTGACCCTTCCTTCTTTGTTGGGCTGGAATAAGTACATATGCAAATTGCCCAAAAATTCTTAAATGTTTTAGATTGGGTGGCTTACCATACAGGGCAAAGAATGGAGTCTGATTTATTGCTGAACACCACACTCTATTCAATACATAGTTAGCAGTATGGACTGCTTCTCCCCATAGATTACTGGGTGCCTCAGCATCTTTCAACATACACTCCTTCATGCTATTAATAATACCTATGCGTCTTTCTGCTAGTCCATTCTCGGCTGGAGTATATGGGTTGGTAGTCTTATGTTGAATACCAGTTTCTGCAAGCCATTCTTGAAAAACATTACTACAAAATTCTCCACCTCCATTCGTGACTAAAGAAGCCACCTTGTGAGGAAAAGTCCTCTCAATCATCTGCACCCATTGTTTGAATACTGAGAAGGCATCACTCTTATTCTTTAAGTTATACACAAATCCATACCTAGTGAATCTATCCACAATAACAAAGAAATACTTAGCTCCTCCTTCACTTTCTGGAAAAGGTCCAGCCAAATCAGCATGAACAACCTCAAAAGGCTGACTAGCCTTCATTTTACTTCTTTTTACTACAAGGTATACTTCGATATTTGCTTGTTTACATATAGCACAGTCCAAAAACTTATCACACTTGAGCATCTTTAACTCAGGACATACATTAGCTAATTTTTCTAGACCACGAAAACTTACATGTCCCATCACTCTGTGAAAGAAATGTGCACATGGGTTATGCAAAGGTACATTCAAGTCCTTATTCGCATATTCAGCACAGTTCATATCACTTTCACCATCATCTTCATTCAGATTATTGTCTATAGCATCTCCTGTGGCTGCCATCATCGCTCTAGCTTCAGCAATGTCCGGTGCTCCACCACCACGGCGTCCTCCTCTGCTGAAGCCCCCTCTGGCGCGGCTGCCTCTGGGTTGATTTCTCCTTGCCTTGCAGTTTCTGGCCAAATGTCCTGGTTCGTTGCAGGCATAACATCTCCTTTCAGCCTTTACTGCTCGCACGCTGGCAGGAACAGTCTCCGTTTGTGTTGACTCCCCCTCATTCCTGCAGCCTTCATGCTGTTTTCCCTCAAACAATCGTTTGTCTTCTTCCTCCAGAAGTCTCGAACAGACTAAATCCAACGTGAGATCCTGGGCTCTCACAGTTTGTTGCGAAAACAATAAATGGTCCCCTCCATCATTAAGTGAAGACATCAAAATATAACTTTGATTCTTGTTGCTGATCTCGACACCTCTGGTTTGGCATTCCAAGAACAGCTCTTTCATCTTTTTCACATGTGCTCTTGCATCTCCACCTTCCTCCAGTTTGGCACAATACAATCTCTTAGTCCATATCATTTTACCAAGTGTGCTCTCTCTCAAATGCACAGTGCGGAGAGCATCCCAAGCTTCCTTGGCAGTTTGCAGACCTCGCACATGAACCAGTTGATCGGGCATCAAACAAAGGATCAGGTTTGCTAGCTCTTTCTGATTTTTCTCTGGGTCAACTTCTGTGCCTAAAATAGTCCTTTGCAAGCCACCTCTCGCAAGCAGATGCTGCATAAACACAGACCATTGCTTATAATTATGGTCACTCAGTCTCTCAATCATTGGCATTGGATTAGAAGCAGCCATTCTCACCACAGGAGACCCTCGCGATCCGAGTTCAAGCCCAGCCGCTGATTCACACCGTCAGTGGATTCTGGCAGTCTCCCCTCTAGTTTCCAACTTTATGGCTTTACGGCTTCACACTTTCCGATCATCAATCTCTGGGTCCAGCTCACAACTCTGCTTACTCCCAGAATCAGTCTTTCGAAGACACTCACCAGCTCTTGGTGAAAACAGGCTCCAGTAACCAGTCCAAACCACACAGCTTCGATCACAGCCTCTAACCTGGTCAGCAGCTCTGCAGGTCAGCTTGTGCAGGTTAACAAGCCCGGTCAGTGTGGGCCCATAACCTATTGTTGGCGTTAGCAGAGTATCGCAGAAGCTCGGAATAATGGACTCTGGAGTCTCCGGTAAAAGCAGGTTTTTTGCTTTACTTAGGCAGCTCAAAATAGACAACCTACACCATCAGCGGACAGACGTGAAGAACACAAACCGAAAGAGATAGGAACAAATACAAACTGCAGCTGGAAGGAAGTTTATCTCTGGCACTCCCTAATCTTTCACAGAGCAAGAACTCAGGGTCACATTCTCACAGCTTGTTACTTTGCTGTTTAACCCTTCTGTGTCAAAATACATCCTGGCAATACAATTCTATTACAATCACAATCCTATCACATAAAATTACATTTAAACACACATCATACATGAATTACACACTGACAACCCCCCCCCCCCCCAATTATTAGTAGACTGGAAGCAAACTAACACCTAGGGGTAAACCCAGCTTTCAAATCTTAATTAACACGCATTACTGCAGACCTGGCATTATTGTGTCTTTAAATCCAAAAGGGAAAGTATAGAGGACATTTTCATACAAGGTTGCAGGCATTAATGCTGCTGCTAAGATATTGATGTTATGACTGGATCAAGTAATACCCAGTATTGGCTACTCCTTTTAAAATGGATGCATTCCCTCTTGCATTAAACGCTATGCTCTGAAGAACCCTTGACTGGCAGGAGTGAGCCACAGGAATCAGTCCCTGAATGGCATCTGAAATCATTGTTTTAAACAACTTACACACTTTTAAACGCTTCCGGCCCATCTCACCTGTTCGAATGTATCTCCCTCTATGACCCACCTCGGAGGCTAAGATCGTCAGGGGAGGCCCTGGTCTTGATCCCACTTCCTCATGGGGACGAATGACAGGGCCTTCTCAGTGGTGGCCTCTTGTCTATGGAACTCCCTCCCCAGTGAAATTAGATAACCCCCCCCTCCCATCTGGCCTTCAGAAATAAACTAAAAACATGGCGCTGGGATCAGGCTTTTGGTCAATAATGGGAGCAGTGCAATAAGAAGCTATAACTTAATTGAATGACGATCCAGGCTGGCCCTAGAATATGTCCTGGATTTTGTGATTTTAATTGCTATTTTAATATGTTTTATTTGGTTGGTTTCATTGTTTTTGTTTATTCACTGATGTATGTGTTCATGCGACATTGACTTATTGCCTGTGTAAGGCCACCTTGAATCCCCTTCGGGGTTGAGAAAGGCGGGATACAAGTATGGTAAATAAATAAATTTTATATATGGTATATCCCTTGTATTCATGGGGGATACATATCTGAATTTACTGTGAAAACAGAAAACTACTAGTAATAGAAAACCCTATTGCAGTGAACAAATTCCACCAGAAGTAACTTAGAGCCACGCTGCAGAGCCTAGAAGATGCCTAGAGGACATATTTTGGTGGATGTGAGTAGATGAGTCCTTGGATACAGGGACTGTATCATACCTAAAAGGTATGCATTTCATGTGTTACACATTCTATAGATAGGAAAGAGCCAATGTTGCAAAATGGTATGAGCATTAGGCAAACATCATGGTGCTGAAATCCCTACTCAGTCATGGAAACTCTCCAGGCAACAAATCTTTCCAAGGAAATCCCATGATGGGGTTCATCTTAGGGCTGCCTTAAATCAAACAGTTTGAAACATCCAACGGGGGAAAAAGCCTGGCATCACATTTTCTGCAAATGTACTCAAAAGAACAAAAAGATTTTACTGATGTTATTTATAAATGGCAACCTGAACAAAGTTCAATAACAGAAGGTAGAATTAGAAACAATCACAGAACTCCAAAAGGAGGACATCAAATGCCATTTTAATCAAGATATTTTAAAATATTTACAGGGTTGCAATCAGCAAACAATCTATCATAATGGTGAATAAAGAATTGCTATATACATTATTCTTTATTTTTCCTATTACTCTATTGATTTTGAACTCTGCTGGGCAAGCTCTTGCTGCCTAATTGTTTCCTGTGCTTCACGCTGCATCTTCTCAAGCTTTTCCAGTGTAACTGATTTTAAGGGGAGCAGCTTTGGCTTACACAATACCATTGTAGTCACATCTTCTACTGCTAACATTCCTAGAATGAGGGGGGGGGGGGGGGAGATAAACAATGAAATTCACATAGTCTTCTAGATTACATAGCCTGGTTCAGACAGTATAGAATCCATGGTTGTAATTGGCAAACTTACTAGCTCCTGGGCAGGATAGAGAACATAGAAGTCTCCACCAAATATTCCTTAAATAAGCAGTAATTTAAAACTGAGGGCAGGTATATTTACTCCTGTAGAATGGCTTCACATGTATTTTCAGAGGCATATACAGGGTATTTCAAAATGATGGACCTAAGTTCAAAGCAATATTTTTCATGGTGTTATAATTACACAAAAAGTTTATACAAAAAGTTTCAAAAAGTTTAATGAGTTATCAAGTTTTACTATGCATTTTGAGCCAAAAACAAATCTAAAAACAATAAAAATCCACCACAAATGTTAAGTATTTTTGTTAGACCTTATGTTGTGGAGTCACCATCTTGCAAATGACTGAGCCCTGTTTATGTGCTGGGAGAGGCATTTAGCAGTAATCCTTTGAAATTCAATACCCCACTTCTTCAAGTGGCACAGTTTCATTCATGGTTTGTGGTTGCAGCGATACAGTATTGCAAATTGGGCCCATTATTTTGAAACAATTTGTATATCAGAACAATGAGCGATGAGCTAAAATCTATTTCCAGAAGGAAATGTTGATTATTCCTAAGTATAATGCATTATAGATGCTGCATTATAGATGCTGGTCAAGACTCAAAGGCAACATATAGCCTGCTTCCAATGGGAACAATGCGAACAGAAAGATAGCTTTGCTGAGAAGAATATTACTTTGTACAGAAGTAATATTCTTTTCAGCAAAGAATAGTAAGGAGACGCTGATGATTTATGCTTTTATTGGTTTTGTATGGGTTTTTATTTTATATGCTAAATGTTTTAAATTCTATTTTATGTGTTGGGGACATTGAATTGTTGCCAACTGTAAACCGCCTTGAGTTGCCTTTGGGCTGAGAAAGGCGATATATAAATACGGTAAATAAATAAACAATATTCTTATGGTTTAAGATAAGTGTCCAATTCAAAAAAGTAGAGTTGCACACAGCATTAAAGAACAAAAAATAAACATTTTATTGTTGTAAAGGGAAGCACAGCCATCCCTCCATATTTGCTGTTTTGATTATTCACAGTTTGATTTAAAATGTTCTCACTAGGTCCAATGTGCTGGTCAACTTTCTTCAGTTATGTTGGAGGACCTTGGGATAGAAAGCTTCTTTTGGAATAATTGGAACCTCCAATTATCTTCTATGGAAGTTGAACATAGAATCTTCCAGCCGGAAGATCTAGAAATTCCTAAAGAAGTATTCCTTCCCGGGGGGGGGGGGGGGGGGGGGGGGGGGATGCAATTTTTTCACAAGGGTCATGGGCCCCTAATCCTAGTTAATGTGGAATCCTGAGCAACATTAGGAATTATTTTCTCTCTGGGATAATATCAAAAACCAAATGGATGGAAAGGGATACTATGAGATAAGGTGCCTGATCCTGTGCAACACACATTCATCTAAAGATTGTTAACCATGTATTGTGTTTTATCTGTGACGTGTGTTTATTTATTCATGCCAATTTTATCCTGCCTTTCCCCACTCAAGGGCCCAAAGGGACTAACAGCATTTATAAAATACACACAATATAAACATTGAAATAATACATAATAAAACCAAATATTTGATAGTGCTGAAAAATGTTAAAATCTATGTATTAATATAAAACTAAAAGTCCTAAAACAAGGGTTCCTAAAAGCCTTTGGTAAAGATGTGGTCTTGTGCTGGGAAGGGTCACTCACCTTGCTTGGGCAACACCTCGCGGAATTTTGGTTCAGACATTGTTTGGCCTCAATCTGCACTGAATGAGAAATTGCCAGAAGACTATTAATATGCTGCCCCCTCCATCATACCTTCCAGATCTAGAATCAATACACTAATTCAATCAATTCACTTAGTAAAGAAACATCCCAAGGTGTGTATGAGGCCCCTTCCACACAGCTGGCACCGGGGCTGTGGCACAGCTGCCTGAGTGTTAGCTGCATTAAGATCACTTCTGACCAAAAGGTCATGAGTTCGAAGCCAGCCCGGGTCGGAGTGAGCTTCTGACCAATTGTGTAGCTTGTTGTCGACCTTTGCAACCTGAAAGACAGTTGCATCTGTCAAGTAGGAAAATTAGGTACCACCTATGTGTGGGGAGGCTAATTTAACTAATTTACGAGGCCATAAAAAAGACGCCAGCAAAGCACTCCAGCAAAAGCATGCGGGGAATGCGGAAGTACTTCATCAGTGTTGCAGAGGGACAATGAAAGCGACAGCTCCCCTGGTGGCCAGAAAAGTTAAATAGCCTCTGACTGTCTGTCTATATATGTTGTGTGTCTTTGGCATTGAATGTTTGCCATATATGTGTACATCCGCCCTGAATCCCTTGCGGGGTGAGAAGGGCGGAATATAAATACTGTAAATAAATAATAAATAAAATCCCATAGTATCTGCTCTGAACAGGAATATATGGTAGTGTGGACTCAGGTCACACAGTTCAAAGCAAATATTGTGGGATTTTCTGCCTTGATATTCTGGGTTATACGGCTGTGTGGAAAGGCCCCGAGAAGTCTCCTAAACTAGGAGATAAAAAAACTTTATCAAAAGAGCCAAGAGAACTCGGGAAGAATAGAAACATTGCCTTTTAATGTGTGTGGGGGGTGGGTAGATTGATGAAATAACATACAATGAAATACAGCAAGATACTATATTGAAATACCATGTAAATACGATAACACTAATCTAGATTAAAAGGAAATTATCTGGGATACTGGTAGGTTGTTAGGAATTGTGGGATTTGAAGTCCAAAACACCTGAAGGGCCGAAGTTTGCCCATGCCTGGCCTAAAGGAACCAGATCCTTTCTAGCCTTAGAAGCTAAGCAGGGTGAGCCCTGGTTGGTACGTGGATGGTGGTATTTCAGAAGGAGAAACTGGCCATTTCCTTGCCTATGAAATCCTTATGGCAGGCATCCTCAAACTGCGGCCCTTCAACTCCCAGAATTCCTGACAATTGAACAAGCTCGTTAGGGCTTCTGGGAGTTGGGAGGCCCAAACAGCTGGAGGGCCGCAGTTTGAGGATGGCTGCCTTATAGGGTCGTCATAAGTTAAGGAACACACAAGGCCAGCCAGGGCCTTCCAGTCTTCTCTACTTACAAGTTTAGAGCAGCCAAACACCGACGAACCCGCTTCTCATTCGCCATTCGCGCGGCCTAGGATCAACAAGGCTCTTTCCTCGCGCATTGCCATGGCAACGCCGCCACAGGGTCAAAGGAAAACGCGGAAGGACTTCTCCGCCCCAGACTTCAAGAGGCACTTCCGGCTTCCGGGCGACTCCGCTGAGTGCTGGGCTTCGAAGGGCACCACAGAGAGGCACAGATAGAGCGCCCCCCTTCGCTCCGATCAGGGCTCCTTCCCCGCAGAGGACGTCAAATAGCCAGGCGCATGCGCAGAACTTGCACGGGTCTTGTCTTCCTAGTTTAAGACCGCTGCCATCTCCAGGCGCGTTGTCCATGTTGACGCTATCCTCATTCTCAGATTAACGTTGTTTTTTGTATCTACTACAAACTATGGCCCCTTCCACACAGCTGAATAAAATCTCACATCTGCTTTGAACTGGGTTATATGCCAGTGTGGACTTGGACAACCCACCTCAAAGCAAATATTGTGGATTATCTGCCATAATAGTCTGGGTTATATGGCTGTGTGGAAGGGCCCCGTAAGAGCTGTTTAGCAGTGGAACTCTCTGCCTCAGAGTTTGGTGGAAGCTCCTTCCCTGGAGGCTTTTAAAAGAGGCTGGATGGCCATCTGTCAGGAGTGCTTTCATTGTGCTTTTCCTGCATGGCAGAGGGTTGGACTGGATGGCCCATGTGGTTTCTTCGAATTCTAATTAGTCCTGTTTTAATACTAACTCTTAGGCAACCAGAAACTACATTTATATGCCATCAAACAATCCCCATGGGTGCTGGTTAACTGAGACTCTACAGCAGGGATCCTCAAACTAAGGCCCAGGGGCCAAATACGGCCCTCCAAGGTCATTTACACAGCCCTCGCTCAGGGTCAACCTAAGTCTGAAATTACTTGAAAGCACACAACAACAACAACAATCCTATCTCATCAGCCAAAAGCAGGCCCATACTTCCCATTCAAATACTAATAAGTTTATATTTATTAAAATTGTTCATTTTAATCACTGTATTGTTTTTAAGTGTTTTTTGCACTACAAATAAGATAAGTGCAGTGTGCACAGGAATTCATGTTTTTTTTTTTCAAATTGTAATCCGGCCCTCCAACAGTTTGAGGGACTGTGACCTGGCTCTCTGTTTAAAAAGTTTGAGGACCCCTGCTCTACAGTATTTTGCAGTTGATTTTACTATACTTTTTTAATGTTACCTGTACAGTCCTTAGCTTAGGTAAAGGTAAAGCTTTTCTCCTGACATTAAATTTATTTATTTATTTACTTTACTTGTATACTGCAGTTTCTCAGCCTAACAGGCGACTCAATGCGGTTTACAACAAAGGTACAACAGTCAACAATATACAATTTAAAACCATAAAAGCATAATACACAATATTGACACAACAATAACAACCCAATGCATCTCATGACTAAAATCATAAGTCCAGTCATGTCTGACTCTGGGGGTTGGTGCTCATCTCCATTTCTAAGCCGAAGAGGCAGCTCTGTCAATAGACATCTCCAAGGTCATGTGGGCAGCATGACTGCATGAAGCGCTGTTACCTTCCCGCCAGAGCGGTACCTATTGATCACTTAACATTTGCATGTTTTCAAACTGCTAGGTTGGCAGGAGCTCACACTGCTCCCTGGATTTGAACTTGTGACCTTTGTGCTTTAACTCACTGCGCCACTGGGAACTCCAGTCCTTAGCTTAGTGGGCCACATTCCTCTTGAAGCATGTAGTAAAAATACTTTTGCGTCTTCTGTACCCAGCACTGCTGAGGCACTCTGCTTGGATTTGATTTCTTTTTGAAAGAAGGGTTGTTGCACATTTAAAGAGAAGTACAAACCAGTCTTGCTAACACATAAACTGCCCTACTTAAGATCCCAGAAAGAGGCATTTTGCCATGCCAGAGGGGCATTCCAGAGTTCAGATCTAATATCTTTATCTTTCTCTGTCTCGGGCTCAAAAGTTACTTCATTCGATCCTTTGTGTACACCTGTGTTACATCATTCTTGGCTAAGAGGAGGAGACTGACAGGGCGCCTTTCAGGACCAGGGTCATGGAGGTATGTCTTTCCTCAACAATAGGTGTGGGTAGGCTTGGCTGGGCAGGTTTCACAGGTAAGGAGCTTTTAGTATTCCTTTCCAACCTCATTAACCTCTTTCTGTGGAAGTTCCTGATCATCCTCTCACAACTTGCTTTGTTGCTTTGGAAGTCTGTGGCTGAATTAGATAAGGAAACAAGTTAATCTGCTCAGAAAAAAAAAAAAAACAGTTTACTGGCTGCCTTTAGTGAGCCAAGCTTAAATCCAATTCATTCCAATCCACAGTAATACTTCCAGCATTTGCCGAACCGGTCTTTAATCCATGAAAACTCATGTCACAATAAATTTGTTGGGTCTTGAAAGTGGCAGAAGATTCTTTATTGCATTTTTCTTGACATATCCAAAACAATGGCTAATGGTGTATCTATGGGCCCTTCCACACAGCCCTATATCCCAGAATATCAAGGCAGAAAATTCCACAATATCTGCTTTGAATTGGATTATCCGAGTCCACACTCGGATAATGTGGGATTTTCTGACTTGATATTCTGAGATATAGGGCTGTGTGTAAGGGCCCTATGTTGTTGAATTTATGCAGTCTGACCGCACTTCAAATATCATGGCTCAATGCAATTGAATCATGGGAGCTGTAATTTCATGATGCCTTTAGTCTTCTCTGCCAATGAATACTGGTACCTCATCAAACTACAACTCTTTTGATTCCATAATATTGAGCCATGGCAGTTAAAGTGATATCAAACTACATTCATTCTACTATGTAGATGCACGCTTGGATTCCATATGTTTATTTCGTTGTCTATTTTGCTCCTTTTGAGGAGAGACAATTTCAGGCAGGTTTTCCATTGAATTAATTTAATGGCAAACTTGCCCGAAATTGGACTAACTTGGTTTCCTAATTGGACTAACTTGGATTCAAGTGAACTGAAGACGGATAAATGCACTACACATAAATACATTATGACAATGATCTCGAAGTGGCATATAGCCTGTTCTTGTGTTCATTTGCTTCATAGTCTAACGTTGCAATGGACTACTACACACTTCCTTGGGGGTAAGACTCTATATGAAACAACAACTTGTGCTTTTGAATACATATATAGGACCGTGCTGTTGTTGTATATGATGGGAGTTTGGGTATATCTGCACTGTAGAATGAATGCAGTTTGACACCAATTGAACTGTCATGGCTCAATGGTCTGAAATCATGGGGGCTGTAGTTTGATGAGCCCTCTTTGGCAAACACTCAGAGAACAGGGGAATTCCAGACAAACCTTCAAACAAAGGATTCCTCCAGGCAGCAAATAAACAAGAGTTCTTTATCCTACCCTGGACATTCCACAGAGATATAAACCTCACTTGCCTAGTTTCCAACAAACCTCATAACCTTTGAGGATGTCTGCCATAGATGTGGGTGAAACGTTAGGAGAGAATGCTTCTGGAACATGGCCATCCAGCCTGAAAAACTCACAGCAACTCAATGATTCTGGCCACGAAAGCCTTTGAGAATACATTGAGGCTAAAGACCTTGTAAAACTACAAGTGGTATCAAACTCCATTAATTCTACAGTGTAGCAACATCCTTTTTTAAATAAATGCTTGCCTAGATTGCAGGTCAAGGCTTAGAATGCCTCAGGTATGATTAAGCAGCAAGTATTCACTACTGATCAATCATATTTATCCATCAGTGTACTGCACAATTCCTTCATTAGGTCTACCCTTTATTGATCTGGTGAAATCTCAACTATTGGAACCAGTAACCTATACTGCTTTGGATTATCAATGTGCATTTAACATTTCATAAAACAGTTTGACTCCAACAGGGATTTTAATTCATAGAGATACTAGCTAAACACAGCCAAGCTTTGCTGTGATTCAGTCTGATAGGAAATGAATGTGAAAGCAAATAAATGTATTGTTGCGAACATAGGTTCACTGAGGAAACACATCATTCAATTCAATACCCTGCTTTGCTTTGCTGTGTCTATGTGGAATGAAAGGAAAGAAAAAGAGGGGTTTTAAAAAAACAAACAGAAATCATTTTTATTGTAAAGCTAGTGGATTGACTACATTTTTGGTTTGTTCGTTTTCTGCATAAACATAAAGGTCAGACAGTTTTCTGAGTCTGGACCATGCAATGTATACTTGCAATGAGAGAAACAATTGTTTTTTAAATTCAAACTGTACACTTGCAAAGATTGCCTCTGCACTTCATTGATAGCCATAGTGAATGCAAGGCATATTGGAAATTGAAGTTGTTTGAACTCAAACGCCATGTCTATCAGAATGAGTGGTATTCGTGGAAGTAGTACTTCTTCACCTTTATGAGGACCATTCAGAATTGTTGCTTCAATTAGATTGTTCATCAATTTATTATCTACTAATTGTGTGCCATTGCATAACTTTGGCCAAGGTACTGCAAATCCCATCATCGGTGGTCCATCCTCCCCCTATATATTTTCTATCCAAACATACAGCAATAATGACCAATCCCATTTCCAGTCCTATTTCCAGTCCCTTTTCTTCCCTGAGAGTTCTATTTGTGCAAGCTTGTTTTAGAGGCATCTATTTTTATCTCTCAAATGTTTTTATAAATCTCCAACAACGAAGTAACTGAAGAGAGAAATAGTTTTATTTCCAGTCTTCTGTTGTTTTATGACTCTATTTACAACTTGGCCCATCAACCAACTTCATCAGCTGCGGGAAGAGAAGATGAGGATTTCAGAAGTTTATCATGAGTAATGTGTTCTTTAGTTAGTTCTTTGCCATTTTTTTCCTTTAAGAACAATTGCTCTGCAGCTCTTCCTAAATTAAGTTATATGGTCCTTAATCTCCACAGTGCCTCAAGGGATTTTGATGCTTAAGAAGAGAATATCTAAATGCCTCGTATCTCATAGTACAAGTATAATGAATAAAATAATTGAATTGCTGCCCTTTAATAGCACTTCATGTTTTTTTGTGGGCTGTGAAAGCTATCTCATGTCCTCACTGGCTGTCACCTGTGTTCTTGTTTTGTGTTACTGTTCGGCTATTAAGTTTAAGAAAATGAATTTTACTAAAAATGCTTGCCTGGAAATGACAAATGCCAGCACTCTAGGCA